AAAAGTAATTAGAAGTAATTTCGGAAACTGAATTCTAATTTTTAATTATATATTAAAACACGGCAATTGTTATTAAATAATAATATGTACAGCCTAACATATAATTTACATAAGTGTTAGTAGAAGAATAATTGGTTCTACCATAACTTATAAATTAAGTGGTCATAATAATATTATTTTATAGGTTTCAAAATTACTTCTCAAATTAATTTGCATTAGTGCATAGCTAATACAAAAATTAATAATAAAATTAAAATGTCCACTATCGATTTGGGTTGTTCATAAAAAAAAAATATTAAAATAAAGATCTAAAAATATTATGCAATAATATTAGAAAATAATATTGTAGTGTTTGTGATCAATACTAAAATATTATTATGGTTTACGTTATTTGAACTTAGACAACTCAAAATTTGGAAATTTTAATTCTACATGGTATTATATTAAACCATTTTATTATTTTATTTCTTAATAAGTTAGTTATTACCTATTAAATATTTAAATGTATGACATTTAAATATTTAACTTTTAGTAAAATTTCTTTTATCGAAGTCAACATTTTTTTATTTACATCTATAAATTTTAACAGAATAAATCTCAAAACTTTATTTTCATATTTTCGTGTCTCTGCTGCATAACTATTACCAAGGGTTGTTTCTAATTAATCCACTTAACGGTTACTCAAAAACCACTTCGGAGACTATGTTTTCGGGGACTAACGAATATACTTTCTAAATTTTTATATTTTTTTCCCGAGTTTTATTTCTGGCCACTCATTAATTCTAACAGTAAAACACCTCGACATCGAGTAATTAAATAATAGCGAAACTTCTTGCTTTTCGAGGGTTCCAAAAACCTCTTTTTAGCCAAGTAGTTGAGTAATATAGCATAATGTAAATTTGTTTTTTAAGTACTGCTTAATAGTTCTAAACTTATGTTTTATAAGATAATATAAAGTTTTTTTCTTTATAAGTGCTATAAATTTGTATCATGTTAATGTTACTCATTATTATCTTATATAGTTATTTGGGCCAATTTAGGCTTTGGACATTTTAATTATTGTAGTTTAATAAACTATTAGTTATTAAATCTTATTCAGTTTATCTTATAATATTTTACATATTATTCGTCGTTGTATCTTACGATTTTAGAAGTAAATTAAAATAAAGTTATGATTTAATAGAATATTAATAATATATTGTCACTAACTATAAAAGTATATATTTTTTTTCATTTTGACCTAATTATTTATTTTTGTATTTTCAGCGTGTGTCAGTAATGACTAAAAAAAATCTGCTAAAGTTCTATGCTGTCAATCGATTTGAAGTGGGTTCACTTTAGGTTTCGTATTTTTAGAAGGGACGTAATTAATAATAATCATTGAATAGTATGAATAGCAAACGAGCTTATCATTTTGTATCCATTTTGGAAAAAAAATAAAAATAATGTTACTGTTGAATTATAAGTCTAATGATTTTGGTATAAAATATGTTGATAAAAGAATTTTTATGATTTATTTATCTATTTTGTAGGTACTTTTAGTTATTAGAAAAAAAATGTTATATCTTAAACGATTTAAATAGATATGCTTATAGTAAAATATTATAGTATTATTTTTAAATTGACACTTCTGTACCTTTTCAATAATCATTTCGTTTTACATACACACTGAGATGACATGGTTTAAGATGGTCTGTATCGTGAAACTTGTATAAAAGACATTCAGCCCTCCAGGAGACAGAGTATCCGGAAATAATTTATGCTATAGCTTTAATCTATTTAAAGAGAGAACAATTTAACACTTATTACAGATTTAATCTTGATTAGTGGAAGAAAGAGTTAACAATGGTTTAAATAACATACTTATGGATATCCATGTTTTTGATTGGTTATATATTTGAAAAAATAAAATAAAATAGTGTAATTAAAAAATGTACTTAAAAATTATTAGAAATGTATGGGTAACATATTTTTTAGTAAATTTAGTATATTTACTCAATATTTTTTTTCATTTATCAATGAGGAACTAAATCCATTAATACATTTTATAAATAATAAGTAGTGCTTATGTCCTGGTTACCAATTCCGAAATTATTCCAGTTTGATGATAAAATTCGTTTATTTTAACGGAGTGTTCTTACATGAAAAACGTGATGATGATGATAATAATGTTAATAATAATAATATATTCTATGATTCTATCTACAAAGGGGTAATTTTTTGTAACTAACATAATATATTTAAAATATCATTATTGTTTCCCCTAACCTAACCTATTAGTATGTAATTTAAATGTTATAGTTTTGTTGTTGTGACGTTTTAGTAAGTAAGAAACACTTTTTTAACTTACGACTTAAAAAAAATAATTTTTTATGAGGCCTTATTTGAAAGACTAACTTTATGACATATTGACATACGACATTCTAATTTTGACTTGGTAAAAAATATAAAGTACCTAACGAATAAATATTTGTAGGTAGCTAGGTTGGTAGGTAGGATTGTACATTTAAACAGTTATTTAAGTCAAACAATTATGAACATAAAATCAATATTATAATTATATTACCCAAATATTATAGTAGACATTTTTTAAAATTATTATTGAACGTTTACGATTTACAATAGAATATTTTTATTTTTTAGGCCTTCTTCTTCACCTTAAAAGTAATAATATAAAAACAAATTGTATTCATGATATTATTATAATGAACACACGCGTGCTTACGTATTTATATGGTGCTATGAAGCTTATGTTTTAATTAAGTTTCTTAAATTGACAAAACGTAGGTATTCGTTGTTAGTTCGGGAAATTCGTTGGCGGAAGTTGTACCATGACTACACAACGAAACCGCACCGATCCGAGCATGATGAATTGAACTCAAACTGTCTGTAATTTCGGTTACCACACTAATCCCAATGAAACGCTCCTACTTCGGACAACCCTCCCATTCATTGACACCTGCTATACACCATTATCATTGCCACAAACTAATATAATTTATAACCTAATTTTCCCGGGATAGCTTTTGATTCGGAAATTACAGTAATTTGGCCGAAAATGTTTCCGTGTGCTCCGTTCGCTAAACGCTAAACGGTAACTGCTCAACGGATTTTTATTCTATCAAACTACACATCCGTTATCGTGAGACAGGGGAATTTTTTCGGTTACCAAACACCGCCACCGATGCCGCTTTCATGTTTTACATTTCATTTAACGACACTTTTATTCTCTAGTGAAAATCTGTGAAAATTCTTTGTTCCTCATAACCCGCACTTGCGCCTAAAAACATCGGCACGTTTCGTCCCACCCGACCACACATCGATTTCCAATAAACTTTAACATGCCAATAATAACCATTGAACTATACTCATCCGACAATTTGATTGTGATGTGTTAAAATATTACTACGAGCTTTGAGCATTAACTGTATGCGGAGCGAATTTGTTGTTCACTATGATAATATAATATAATGTTATTTTAATGTTTCAGAGATTTTGATTTAAGAGGATACTTTTGTCGTCTCCGTCTAACACACGTAAGACATAATACATTTTCGTTCACTGGTTTCAATAGTGTACTGTTAGTTTTGATATTAGAGTGAATTTACCCATTATCGAACTTTTAGGTAAGAAAATTAACTGTGCTTTGGTTTTTATTTGATATTTTAATTTTCAAGGGAGTATGAGCATTTTTAATTTTTGATATTTTACATACCCATAATATTTTGCTTGAAAATGAAAATATCGAAAAATTACCTAAAAGTACACTATTGAAACTAGTGAACGAACATTTGCTATGTCGTACGTGTGTAGGATGGAGACAACAATGAACAAATGCATTGATAGTGTCCTCTTAATTACAAGTCGTTGTATGTAATAATAATATTTATACTAAAATTCAGTTTATTCGATTTAAACGAAACAGGGTATAACTTTTAGTTATACAGATTGTCGCTCTAATAGAATTCCTTGTAGAGTAATAAATTATATTGTTATTTTGTTATTTTTATTTTAATTAAAAAATAACATTTTGTATAAATATTGATGGGCCATTAGAATGCTGTAATTTTAATTGCCCTCACGTTTTTCATAAAATATTGGTAGTGTGTATATTTGATATAATGTATATTACTAAACGGCTCTGCACTCCAATCACTCGAGTTTCCAACACCTCTAGGGTCTTCACATATTGATCAATACACTTGCCAGCCTCCCTTCGATCTTTTTTATATATCAGAATTTATAAACTCTAAATAAAAACTAAAAAAAATTGAAATGCCCTTAAATAGTTCAAACAGTTAAAAATATTTTTGAAACTGTTTTTGTATAGAAAATGCTGATATAAACATTCAGTGAAAATTGCATTCATCCACAATAATTTGTGTTAGAATTAGACCAAACACCAAAATCGATTTTGTCAAAAACAGATTTTGCGTAAAAATTCCCGTTTTTCCTTCATTTTTTTTTTGTTTTTTTCCCGCGCTTTAGATAACTACTGGGAATTTATTACTTTTGACCTCCCAGTAATAGATTCACTTTTCCATCATAAAAATACTGTTGAAGAAAATCTAAGCATTTTTAGTGTCCCAAAAGGCGATGCCAGACACAAATAAAAAACAAAAACACATAATTGTATAACCAATACAAATCGGTGCCCTCAGAATCTAAAATATAAATAAACATTGATACAATAATTATAAATTAATAAAATATTTTATTAACATTTTAAATACAATATGGTACACTCACTACACACGTTATTTTAATGCGTCACCAAATACAATATTTTAAATTGACGAGTTTGCACTATTATATCTGATTCCCTAGCGACTTTTACATCGTGAAAATGCTACTTAAAATAATTTACTTCGTGTAAAATGTAAATAATATAGCATATTTTCATGTAACTAATAATCCGAATATGTTTTGTCTCCGTGACTTATTTATAATTGTCATGACAAATGCTAGTCTCACTGGCAATCGTAATCTTTAAGAAAGCAATGTCGGAACTTCCACTTGTATCAAGTGCAGTTATGCACGGTATACAAACAATATCCTTGTCTCGTGTCAAAATTTCACAATGTATTATAGTCCAGTTGACTTTAATCACTACAAATCATGTTCCATTACACAAACCACCAGAAATGCATATTATATTTTTTAATAACATGACAATACAACCTAGCTTCAGATTAACTGAAGAGGGTGGATATCATGAATGTGTTGGGGATGCAAGATGGTCAGGTGGACAACGTAAAGACATGTTTTCGCTATCAGTGCCATCCCATCTGCAGCCAAGAGAATCAGAAATATCTGTGGAAACACACTTACACAAAGTAATATCACATATCACTCTAGACAATCTTGATAGATTTGAATCATACATTTTCTTTACGTCATCATTCCGAGCACCTAAAATTGGATTTATATCAAGGACTCTACATCAATCACAGTTGGATACAACTCATCAATCAAATCATAACTATACAATCAAATATTCAGTGATCTTAATTATAATCGATATTATTAAGTTTGCCTGAAATTATTTAAAGATAATATTTTTCAACAAATTATTGTTTAATAAATTATTGAAAGAAATTCTTAATTCATTAATATTTTTCAGTTTGTAAAACTACTATTTAATATTTCAAATTTCAATATTTTATATGATAATTAATTTATTGTTTATTATATTGTTAATTGAATATTATCTTGATCAAATTAGGAGTATTTTATTACGAATTCGTGTGACTTTATGTAATTAAATTTTTTGAATGATGCTTTTAGTTTATTTGAGAAAAATCATAATATTTTTTTCTAAATATATCGATTTGTTATATTTTTTTTATTGTACATTCAAGGATTCTAATTATAAAATTAAAGATTGTTGTATTTTTAATGATCATTTAAAAATTTAAGCTATACATTCCATTGAAATTAATTATTTTAAATAATGATTTGCATTCAAATTAAAACATATTATATTATATATATATATATATATATATATATATATATATTTAATACTTATAATTATAAATACGATCATCATTTAATTTTATCGTACTTTTATTTAATTTTTCACTTTTTAATAGTTCAATATTTATATTAGAGTGGCAGGGAATTGAAATTGTTCTGAATTTCTGGGTATAATGCAGGGTAAAATGAGTTTTGACATTTTGAAGTAATTAAATGCTATTACACGCCATGCATAGAAGGAGTCTGTCTCTGAATGTCTAATATTTGGTTAATATTTGTTTAATGAGCTAACAAATTTATGCCAATATATAAGAATATGTCATTTTAATACAATGTTGATTATCATCGTGGGTTAGGAAAATTGAGACAGGGTTGACATTTCTAAAGAATCAAAATACTCGAATGACCCAAGTTTGATAAGGTTAACATATAGATCAATGATGGAGTCATATTACATGGTATGAGGTGAATGCAAATTGGTTCAACCGGGTCTGCCATTGGATGACTGAGTCTGATATAGAAAGTTGATTATGAAAGGGTAAGGGTAGACGTAAAGGGTATGTACGGTTAAAAGCTGTTCCGTGTTCTCTAATTTCTGTTCTATAACAACGGTCACCTAATTATTAATAAATAGATTTTGAGGAAAATCCTTATCCATTATTCACGACCGTTAACTCCTTTACGCTCACATTACGCGAAATTTGCATAGCCACAACCAATATCCTTGGGATCTAGAGTAGGAGATTCTAAGCTGGAATAATATATAATGTCCCCTATGCTCAGATCTATCTTATTTAACATTTTAGTATAATAGCCGAAAAATTTTTGCACCAGTAATAATTTCTATCGACTTAATATTTTAAGGAGAACAGACGATTTATACTTATTACTATTATAGTCATTTTAGAAAATGTTAACCTTTTAGGTCAAGATGACTTTTAATGAAACGAATGATTTTTTTAAAAATGTAAGTGTTTGATTCATCAGACATATTTTAGGCATCATGACTATCTAAATACTAAATATTAAATACAATGTTATACATAGGTATCTACATTTTTATTTTTAATACATTAAAAATTATATCTAAATATTAAAATATTTTAACAGTATAATCGCCTAATTTGTACATTTAAAATTTTTGTTCAATTTTTTATAGCATCGAGGGGAATGATTCTGCCAAAAAATTGTACTATAAAATATTAATTATATTTAACTACCGATTGTTTAGTCATCACTAACATATTTTTTTAAACTTTTATACCTTACAAATCTTTACACATTGTACGCCCAATTCAGAGCAAAATAAGACTTATGGTTTTATACGTTAAAGCCGTGGTTATTTATATTCATACAACGAGTTTCAACAATGAAAAACTAACATGTATCGAAATAATTTTCTGGTCACAGTATGTAAATCCGGAGCGTCTGTAACGGCGGGTACGTGCACACAAAATAGAAGTCTTCAGCAGAAATACTATGAAGACGAACCCAAGAGACTCGTAAAAACTCACGAATCCAGAAAATGAATTATATATATATAAAAAAAAAAAAGAAACGCACGTCAGTTTATAATAGTTATACAAGAAAAAATTTACTTTATAGTGTACGATGTAATATACTAACTTATTATGGAATTGAAAAATTCTATTATAATTTCATCCTTCTGTGAATTGTTGTATTTTTAAAATTTAAATGGTTGATTACATTGATATTATTATACAAACGAAATACATTATAATTTATAAGCTACCGTCATACAAATATTATAAGGTATATTTATATTGTGATGGAAATACAATATAATCGTATGTTAAATTAATTTAGTACCTGATATAGCTAGGTACTAATTTAACATTTAATATTTAACTTAGTTTTTTGTTTGTAATTCAAATAAATTTTTTTTTTTTTTTTTTTTTTTTTTTTTTTTCATTGATCATTAAGCCCGGCAACTATGGCCATTAGCTGTTTTTTTTGTTTGTTTGTTTGTTTGGTTTGTAGGGGAGGGAACTGTTGGTTTGTAAACACGTGTGTTTGTGGTGGCAGAATTTTTATTGGGGCACCCGTAAGTTTCTGCCATGCCCCGGAGTGGGGGGATGGCGGCACTTGTTTTCCGGACACCGTGACTTGCCCGGAAAAAAATGCCACCAGGTGGTCGAGAATCGAACCCGCGACTGCCAGCGCCGCGGCCGACGCGTTAGACCGCTCGGCCACCTCGTCCCCCACAAATAAATTTATAGCATTTATTATTTACGAATTTGTAATAGGCACATTTTATAAATAACTTTTAGTAAATTAAAATAAAATAAAATTTATTTTAAAATGGAAAAAATTAATTTTTTTTTTTTTCTGAAAAATGTACGTGGTTTTTTTATATTGATAATATTTAATAGTGATATTATGTTGTAATGATTTTGATAAGGTAAATGGGTATTTGTTTTTATGGAATTAATTATAGTGTCACAACAAGCGATACATTATTCAATATTTCAATGTTTATGTATTTTTCAAAAGACTTCCAAATTGTATATTTTGATAATAACTTTGTGCTCTTTAATGTTTATTGCATACTATTATAGACATTTTAACAAAATATCAAATGAAATTTAAATAATTATTATGTCAATAAAATGTATTATTAAGTAGTTATGTTTAATAAATAATAGGTACAATCATAAATATTTTAACTCTATAAAATATAAAAATAATTTTTTTTAATTTTAAAAATGATGCAATATTTTTGTTACTTACTTAAAATTCAATAATTAATTGATAAAAACGTTAAATCCGTTCACTTAAAAATACACATTACATTACATTTCTATAGGTAATATAAAAATCTTTAAACATTTAAACATCTCAAGAAAAAACAACAGTGCATTGTAATTTTGGTTGTCCTTCTTGTGATCGGCACAAATTTAAAAATTACAATACTTATAAGTCGACAAAAAGCGCCATTAGAAAACTTAAACTAACTAATAGAATATTATTGAAAATGTGATTTGTTGCTCTAATAATTTATATTGAGACTTATAATATACATAGTATTTTGTTTTGTTCAACAGATTAAATGTCTCTCACAGCGTGGATTCAATTCGGTTTGGGGACAAAATTAAACTTAGTTATTAAAAAAAATACATATATACTTACTATAATATTCAGCTAAGTCTACCCGACAGTCTATGTTTTATGAATTATATTTCAGATGAAAACGCAATTGAAGCTATTAATCAGAAAAATAATGAAAATAAAGAAATTCGTGACCAGAATAACAATTTCAATGAACGAAATGGCTCTTCCCGGCTAATTGATAACATTCTTTAAGTAGACACAAGAGAAAGTGAACAAGGAAAAATGGTTAGTATTTATATATGATCATGATTTTAGAATTAAATGTGTCAAATTGATCGAATGTTACAAAATAAACATAATAATATACGGTGTGGTCCAAATTTCATAGTCTCCAAAAACTCCGTAATAACAGCCTATTTTGCTGTATGTTTTCACATTATTTTAGTCATGATATGGCATTTTAATTTGATTATATTAATATTGTATTCAAACTTCGAAAACACAACGTGGGATTTGATATAAAAAAATCTAAGCGTGATTAATAGACAAATGTTTTGTAAACAAAGATATATTTAAAATTTATTTCGAACATTTTTACTTTATCTAAGTTGTGTAAAATATTACTATACTATAAACATTTTATTAATACACCGAACTCAAATCTCAAAGAGTTCTGGCTGTATTTGATACGAGTATTATTCTAAAAGTATTAAATACTAATCATAAAATGAGATATACAACTTGAAAATGATGTGTGTAATAGGCTTCATTCTAAAAATCCAAAATAACTTTATAATGATTAATTGGTAAATTCTATTGAGACTACAAAATGGGGTATACAACTAAAAACTTGGAATACCAAAATTACGATCCTGATCCCTGTATATATATATTATTATATTATAACTTAAGACAATAATCAATATGATATTACACTGTACTTATAGTTTTCTCATATTTCACGTATTCTTGCAGGTGTTTGTGAAATGAGTGTAAAGTAAAATGGAGGAATAAAAATTTATGGGATAACTTCTTCGTTATATACGCTAATGTATGCCGATCTGTTGTAGACACTTGGAACAAAATTTAAGTTAGAGGTACCCATTTTGTTCAAAAACAAAACTTGAGATCATACAACAATAATCTTATTTATTTATTATATTTTATACCCGTATACAATTTGAATATTTATTTATAATATGAAACCTCCCAATAATATTATAATAGTTTATATATTTGTGATTGTATTTTATTTTTTTGAATTGATTGAAATGCTTATATATGCAGTTTATGTCACCTACCTCTAAGCCAGTTGAGTCGTACAGGTTCTGTAGATCTGGACCCACGTTTTCCAGAATACATCTTCTCTCTTCCAAGAAATCTAAAAACATTATTTTAAATTAATTGAAAAAATTATTCAGTTGTCAAGTTTTCTAAATATAAACTAGTTATTTTATAAAATTAACTTATATATGAATAGAAATGTAAT